TCTTTCTTTCTTTCTTTCTTTCTTTCTTTCTTGATGGAGTCTTGCTCTATTGCCCAGGCTGGAGTGCAGTACAGCCATGTCGGCCCACTACAACCTCCGCCTCCCAGTTTCAAGAGAGTCTCCTGCCTTATCTTCCCGAGTAGCTGGGAATACAGGGGCCCACCATCATGCCCAGCTACTTTTTGTATTTTTCGTAGAGATGGGGTTTCACCATGTTGGCCAGGCTGGTCTGAAACTCCTGATCTCAGGTGATCCACCCGCCTCAGCCTCCCAAAGTGCTGGGATTACAGGCATGAGCCAATGAACCCGCTGGTTTGTACTTCTCAAATAATTGACAGTGAAATAAATACATTTAACAACATGATACTTTCTTTTGAAAGGTACCTCAGAATCTATGGAGTGCCCTTGAGTCATCACAATAAAAATCAAATCACTAGAGAGGAGATGCCTTATAGTTCTAATTGCTAGATCCTGTATCAATGGGGTACTTACATTTATTGCTTGGCCAGTCTTTTGAATAAATAATACTTTTATAATGAACTTATAACGGTGGTACCCAAATTCTTTGACTGCTAACAGTATGCGGTCTGCCAATTCAAGTGACAAGTGAGAGAATACTTTATCATCATATTTGACATCTTTAAGACTTTCCTTTAAGAAAATTTAAGAAAAATACTTTTATTTTCGAACCAAATATTTCCTATATAAAAATTCAAGTAGAAAACATATCTAAATAATATATATAACTGTTTAAAAATAAATATATTCCTAACTAAATAATATTAAATACATTTTATGCTTACCTATTTCTGTAACAATTTTGAGGAATATTTATTGGGGTTTTCAAATTATATTCAATTACTTTTCATTATCGACACAAGCTATAAGTTGTAATTTACTAGACTACTCTGCCAAACAGTTAATAGAAAGACACAGGAGATTTTCCAAAGAAGACTTCTAGAAATTCTTAGGTAAAGGAAAGAAACCTTTTAAAATTTATACATGTATTAAAATTCAGATTTTGGTTTTCTTATAGTGAAGATTACTTGGACTCAGAACCTGTACCATGTCACTGCCCTGCTCAGTGGGCTCACATTAAAACTACTTCTTTCCAACCCTCCTCTGTAGCCTCTCACTCCACTGATTTTTCTCTGGCCTCCAGGAAAGTGAACTCAAAGATTTCTAACCATGTTTATTAATAAATTAATGTATAACTTGAAGGAAATGGACATGGCTTGTGGGCTATAAAGCATTACTCTTTTTTACAAACCAGGAGCAGAACTGGACAACACCTAGCAGACAGACTACACATCTCTGATTAACTGACTTGTTGTGCCTGCACCAATGACACACAATGCCTTCTGGTTCTAGTGACAACTGCATGAGCCAATTCCTGGAATGAATTTCTTTGTATATATATTCTCTGTTTCTCTGTAGAACTCTCATACAATACTGCTATCATATATATTTATCAACCTACTGTTAGTATCTGCTGGATTTTAGTTTGTACTGAATGAGCTTGGAATTTCTTCAGTGGCTCCATTCTATATGAATTAGCAAACTTTAATTTTGCCAGGGCACTCTTCCATTCTTTACCTATATCAGCAATTGAGTCATCAAAAGGAGGCTCTACATACTGAACATCGTGAACTGACTCTCTCAGTCTTTCTCTTAAAATCTGTGCATACTGGAGGAGAAAGAGAGAGGGGAAGAGAGAAAGGGAGAAAGATTACTTTTTAAATTGTAAAATGATTTTTCAGATTAAAAAACCCTGTACAATGGGACAGGGCTCACACAAAGCTTGGAAATTTGTTAAACAGACTTCTACAATAATGTGGTTGCTAAATCCTAGATTTGCTCCTGGCTATCAATTTGGCAAAAAAAAAAAAAAAAAAAAAAGGAATACTATTTATCCTTTTATCTATACTCACAAACATATACACACAAATTGCATGCATATATTTAGAATATCCATGGATGATCCACAGGAACTAGAAACAAGAGTGGCCTCCAGGGAAAGCAACTGAGTGGCTATGGGATGGAGATACAGGGAAAACCTTTCTTCCTCCCTACCCTGAGATTATGAAAATATTATCCTTCATTGTCTTAAAATTTTATTTTACTTCATTTACTCATTTTTAAATAATATAATTATTTAGGTAGCACATTCATAAGTCTTAAGCTGAAAAGATACCAAAAGAGCATTGATTCGATATTTATCAGTTCATGCTTTTGACATGAAACATTCATTCTGTGACATCCAATATGCATTAATGAAATATTTGCATAGTATCCAATATGTCCCAGATAAATGCTCTAGCCTCTTAAATTAAAGCAGTGAGCTTCATTTTATTAATAGCCAGGAATTTCTTTTTCTTGCCTAATTGCTTGGCTAGAACTTCCAATTCTATGTTGAAAAGAAGTGGCAAAAGTGGACATCCTTGCTTTGTTACTAATATTACAGGAAAAGCTTTCAGTCTTTCCCCATCGAGTATGATGTTTGCTGTGCACTTTGTTGTTGTTGTTGTTTTGAAACAGAGTATTGCTCTGTCGCCCAGACTGGAGTACAGTGGCATGATCTTGGCTCACTGCAACCTCTGCCTCCTAAGTTCAAGCGATTCTCCTGCCTCAGCCTCCTGAGTAGCTGGGACTACAGGCACATGCCACCATGACTAACTAATTTTTTTTTTTTTTTTTTTTTAAGAGGAGTCTCGCTCTGTCACCCAGGCTGGCATGCAGTGGCACAATCTCAGCTCACTGTAATCTTTGCCTACTGGGTTCAAGCAATTCTCCTGCCTCAGCCTCCCAAGTAGCTGGGACTACAGGCACACGCTGCCACACCTGGCTAATTTCTTTTGTATTTTAGTAGAGACGGGGTTTCACCATGTTGCCCAGGCTGGTCTTGAACTTCTAGTCTTAAGAGATCCTCCCACCATGGCCTCCCAAAGTGCTGGGACTACAGATGTGTGCCACTGTGACCAGTGTGCCACTGTGACCAGGCTATGCTGTGGGGAGGCCTCGAGGCCCAGGAAGGGCCAGGCAGCTGTCAGCACATTATCTGGGTCTGGGAGGCTCCTGTGGACGGATGGACCTCCCCAGCCCCGTGGTGGTGAGGACAGCGGGTGGCCTGGCCTGCTGGAGACAGCTCTCCTCAGGAATTCACATAAAACTGCTTTGAGATGTGTCTACCACGCATGTTGAGTCCATGGAGTTCCCAGGTCTGGGAGGGAGGCTCTCGGTACCCTGGCTCGGTACCCTGCCATTTATTGAGGGCGAAGTTCTGGGTTGTAGGCCGGGTGTGGTGCCTCACACCTGTAATCCTAGCACTTACAGAGAGGCCAAGGTGGTTGGATCACTTGAGCCCAGGAGTTTGAGACCAGCCTGGGCAACATAGCAAGACCTTGTCTCTACAAAAATACAAAAATTAGCTGGACAGGGTAATGTCTACCAGGGTAATGTGGTCCCAGCTACTCGAGAGGCTGAGGAACACCCAAGCCCAGGGTGTTGAGGCTGCAGTGAGCCGGGATTGCACCACTGCACTTCAGCCTGCGCGACAGAACGAGACTCCGTCTCAAAAATACATACATACATACATACATACATAAAGTTCTGGTTGTAAATCCTGGGGCATTGCTGGGGGAGGTCTGGGGCTCTCAGAGGGTATATGTTTGTGAAACTTTGTTGTGATGGCCAGCATCCTCCTTTGTCCCCAAGGAGACAATCTCACCTAGTATATGCCAGGCACAATGTCATGAACTGGGGATAAACTACGTTCCCAACCTCTTGAAAATGTAGCCGAGAAGATAATTTCCGAGAGTGAGTTTTTGAAAGAAATACCTGGATGTAGGTATTTTTGCCCATGGGTTGGGAAAGATCTTCTGAGATGTTGACATTTAAGCCAAGTCCTGGGTCACAGAAGGGTATTATGTAAATATGAAGGAAGGGGCTGGGCGTGATGGCTTACACCCATAATCCCAGCACTTTGGGAGGCTGAGGTGGGCGGATCGCTTGAGGTCAGGAGTTCAAGACCAGCCTAACCAGCATGGGGAAACCCCGTCTCTGGCCTGGGAGCCCTACAGAGTGGGGCCAACCTTGACTCGCCTCATGGGACCCGACCGCTTGGGCCAGGGCTTGGCATGCAGGTAGATGCTGCACTTGACCTTGAATGTGGATGCGATTGTACAGCAATGTCCTGTGTTCCAGACGGGAAACTGAGTCTCCCCTTGTGCCCGGAGAGATGCGGGGACCCTGCTCTGTGGACTTCTGATCCGGCCACTCCACAGGTCTCAGGCCTGTGGGCTGGCAGGGGCCCCAGGGCCTGTTTTTTCCGCCTGGTGCTGGGATTGACGTCTTGAAGGGACAACGCCTTGGTGCTGGTGATTATTTTTTTAACCTTTGCAGTTTCAGCCAGACACTCGAAACCAAAGCCGTTCTGCCCCCCAGCCCCAGCCAGGCCACAGCCAGCGAGGCCACATGGAGGCCTGACCTGTTGGATGCTGGGCCACTGGCCTCCCCAGACCGCACGGTCCCAGCGCTGGGTCCAACTCCACATCTGGACTTTTCAAATTGGTCGTGGTTTCCAACTGGAACAAAAGGACCCAGGATGGGGAAAACATGGGGTCCCCTCACCCCACCCCGCTTGTTTGCACAAAGGATGGGGGTCAAGGGCTCAGCCAGAGCCCCCTGCCCACCTCCCTGCAATGGACACAGCCCAGGCCTGGAAGTCACAGGCCACTCTTTGCCCACAAGGTCCACGGTTCCATCTGGAGCCCGGCCAGCCCAGACCAGACACCTCAGCAACAACATGGCCAAGGTGGGATTCATGGTTTTCCACCACATCTCTTCAAGTCTTCCTGTGTCGGGCAACAGCTCTACCAACCACCCTGTGATGCGTTCAAGATCCGGGCAGCGTCTGCGACTCCTCCCTCCCTTCCTCCACAAGCTCATCGGCAGCTCCAGTCCTCTCAGGCTTCAAAACAAACAAATCCAACCTCTCCTCCCCACCCTGTGGCCCTGCCCCGGCCCTGACCCCACCAGCTCTTACCTTGATATTGCCTGGCCTCTTCCCCATTGCAGCCACAGGAGATGTCTCAAAATCGTAAATCATGTTCCTCCCCTGCTCACACACTCTCCGTGGCTCCCTATTGCTCTCAGAATAAAAGCCACCTCCTTGCAGCAGCTTGCAAGTCCCCCATGTGATCTCAGCTTGGCCCATCTCTCTAACCCATCTCCCCGCTCCTCCCTCACTCTGCTCCAGTTACATCGGCCTCCTCACCTCCTCCAACAAGAAAATTACTTCCTACCCCAGGGCCTTTGCACAAACCCACCTCTCTGCCTGAAGTGCCCTTCCTTAATTTTTTTTTTTTTTTTCTTTCTTTGGAGACAGGATCTCGCTGTGCTACCCAGGCTGGAGTACAGTGGCACGATCATAGCTCACTGCAACCTCCGACTCCCCAGGGTGGGCATGGTGGCTCATGCCTGT